ACACACACACACACACACACACACACACACACACACACACACACACACACTCACAAACACACGTACACACATTCTCCTGTCTATTGATGGGGAGTGCCACCTGCTGGAAACTGGGTCCAACGTCCCATGAACATCGTGAATAAAACCAGGACCCCCCACACACACTCTTCGAGTTGTGTATAGCGAACACGACAAAACATACATACAGCATAATCACTACCTTACCCTTCCCGAACCACATCAACAAACAAACTACAGGCTGTGCACCCGTGCCCTCACAGTAAGTCAATAGGCCGCTGTGTGGCTGGCCTGCGCGGACCCTGATTTCCGAAATGGCAACGGTTTTCAAATTCGAAATCGGGCGGGTCGTGGACGATGGCCAGCCATGCAAGGGTGATCCAGCCATGCACGGGCAGCATGTGAACGCACGTGCGAATCCGTTAGTCATGAGCGTTGTCCTCGTGCCGAGTACTGGGAGCCGAAGGTGTGTTCAGAGTGCAATGTCATCGCTGACGAGCATTATAGGCGCAGGGCGTGGGGCCTGTGGTCGGGGTCATCGGTTTTGGCAGCGTCATCAGCCAGGGTGCGGGCGATGGTTGCATGCGGAAGGAGCGGCTGGAGCAGCCACGGTTGTCCGGGCAGGAAAGCGTTCAGGGTAAGGCGTTTTGCCAATCACTCGTGGTGTGAACATACTGCATAAATTGTTGCTTCAGCCTGTATGGGTTGCAAAGAGAGTTGTGGTTCCACGTATATTGGAATTGTCTTCATCAGCTCTTCGTCATCGGATTCCGTGTGGCCGAAAAACTGATACCAATCTTCGCCAACATCCTTTGGAGTGGTCTGCATGCGATTGCGTACTCTAATCTCCACATCCACATATTGTCCACGCGGCTGTTGCTCCTTCTTCCTGTCACTTCCGTGCCATCATCGTTGTTCGTCAACCATGAAGAAAGCACTGTTGGCGGATGAACGCATCAATTGTGGGCTCTCTGTGGGCTTTGATAGGCTGTTGTTTTATCGTCATCGTCGTCGTCTTCACCGCCTTGTTGTTGCCATTTTCATGTTGTGCGCCGTTCTTTTTTTCGTCTTGTAGTGGTCGGTGCTGGGACTGTAGTGGTGCGGGCAGCCGATCTGCTTGCGGTGCTCAACATCGAAGTTCATGAAAACCAAAGGGTCATTTTAATCAAACTTGCCACCAATTCGTAGCACGGAGACCATACTAACTAACTGCAAAAAAAAATCCAAAATAAAAAATAAAAACCATATAAAACAGCAAGGCAACAGTGCATTTTCATAAAATTTCGCCAACATCTCAATTTCAGAAATCTTGAGAAATTTCAGATGGTTCAAGGTTGATGTGTGCCAAATTTCGTGTCATTTGGAGAATTGGAATTTCCTCTGTTAAGCCACCAGTACTTGGCCCAGCTATCAAGTCCAAGCCTCAGCCGAGCGGTATGTCGAGCCTTGCCGAGGCTCAAACTACCGGGCGCTAACCTCCCGAACGTCCTTGGAGAAGAACACGGGAAAAAAAAACAGAAAAAAAAAGCCGAAAATGCAAAAGGCAACGACAAAAAAACATGGAAAAAAGAAAAAAACACGGTTACCTTGACGGTGTATCTTTGCATGTTCACACGGAAGATTCACGCTCGTTTTCGTTTTTCGAAACGCGCGCGCGCTCACGCGCGCGCGAGAGAGAGAGAGAAAGAGGCGGCGAATTCGCCGCCGCCCTCCATTCAGGTCGCCGTCTCTCTCTCTCTCTCTCTCTCTCTCTCTCTCTCTCTCTCTCTCTCTCTCTCTCTCTCTCTCTCTTGCGTTTCCATTGCCTAATCCTGAAACGAGAATGAATCTTCTCGTGAAACTAGAAAGATTCATTCCCGTTTTTCATTTTTTTGAAAAGAGAGAGAGATAGATAGAGAGAGAGAGAGAGAAGCTGTCTCTTATACACATCTAGATGTGTATAAGAGACAGACACATATGTGACCGTTAATAAACAGTTGCTGAGCTCGAATTCTTAGGGTCTACCCCCTGAGAATAAACAGTGGGTAATTAACATGCCAAATACGATGGATACAATAAATAGTATTAGAGGCTACCCACTTCAGGAAAAAAAAAAGCTTAGTGACTCAGGCCGGGTACCTCACTTAGGATCACTGTTTACTGACTTACCGGCTTGAAAATATGGTTAATTCCACCTGTGTCCGACGCAAAAACAAACAAACAAACAAACAGACAGACAAACTAAATGGGTTTCTATTTCCATTTGCTCAGGCAATCAAGGTTGCATGGATTGAAAAGTCGGAAAAGTTCGTTAAAGAGCGTGGAGTGCGGATCAAGAGAAGTATGGAGGAAAACAGAGAGTTCAAGCAGAAGCTTGACCAAGCAGAGGTAAAACTGAGGTGTTGTGGAATAATGGTCTCTTCAGTGTCTTCAGTGTTTGTGCTGGAACCGATGTTCATGTTGTTTTGCTTTTGGAAAAGAGTAGAGCTTCTCAACCCACCCCATGTGGGCTGAGTGATACAGGCATGTAACTTGTGATCAACAGATCATGAGTTCAAGTCCGGACTGTTTTGCTCGAAAACCGAATCCTCTGATGCTTCCCTGTTCTGTCACTTGTCATGAATCGAGCTGAAACTTGAAATCTAAGTCGAGCGAGCATTTTTTGCATGAAATCCTTTTTGTTTAGCAAGCAATCAAATACTAACACTTATGAAAGGATTTTGCCACTGCAGCCCTGTTCCCGTTCCCAGCTCCGAGCAATCCCCAGTTCGCAGTCCAATTGTTGGGCTCAGTCGCTTGTACAATATTCATTACTGCCTAGGCTGCGGTAGTTCCCGGTAGATAACAGTTATGGGTCGGAAAGAGTCTGCGGAATTTTTGCTTGAATGCTGATGATTGACCGACAAAATCACGCACGGACTACAAGAGTGTAATCAACGAGTCTGTAAATGTTTACTGGTAACACACACACACACACACACACACACACACACACACACACACACACACACACACACACACACACACCGGTTAAATGTCCGACTCATTTCGAAGCAAAGACCGACAACAGGCTTGCACTGGTGTCTGTGACGCATGGCAATTTTAAATTTTTTCTTTTCTTTTTGGTGCAGGTGACACCGTGATGTCTAATCTATACGATTGATCATTGGGCTAGTCTGTCTGATGACAAATTGATTGCATGGCAGGTGGCTGTGAAAGAGTGAGTGTGTGGTCATGTGGCGAGCATGAAGAGGTAACTTGATCTCATCAAATACTGACAACAAGCATGGTGCTGATGTCTGTGTGGACGGCAAAAACAAACATTGATTGCGTTTGCAGGCGGCGTTGAAAGAGTGCAGTCGTGTGGCGAGCATGCGTATACCACCTGCTCTTGGAGAGAACAGCCCAGCGCGGCAGTGGGCACGGTTCCTGGCACTGATGTCATGCAGCGAGCTGAAAGATATTATCAAAACTCAGAAGGAGGAGTTGGATGAGGTGCGGCAAAAAGCGCTGGCTCTAAGGCGAAAGAGTTTTCCTTTCATCGATCAAAATCAGACCACTCGACGGCGACCAGTCTCAGCCTCTGTCAACAAGCGCCGTCCAATGTCAGCTGTGCCCGTGTACCAGCGCCGTCCAGGAACTTCGCCAGCTGCATTTTCCTCCCGTAATCGCCCGGTTTCAGCAGGAGCTTGACCGCACACTTTTGCAATGCAAAGTTGTGCAAACAGTGGACAAGGGATGGCAAGTTATGGAAACAGTAGATCCCGGATGGAAAGTTAAGTTTTGAAAACACTGGATAAGGGACGGAAAGTTGTGGAAACAGTGGATAAGGGATGGAAAGTTGTGGAAACAAAGTTGTGGAAACGGTGGATAAACACATCTAGATGTGTATAAGAGACAGGGATAAGGGATGGAAAGTTGTGGAAACGAAGTTGTGGAAACGAAGTTGTGGAAACGAAGGGATAGAGAGTTGTGGAAACAGTGGATAAGGGATGGAAAGTTGTGGAAACAAAGTTGTGGAAACGGTGGATAAGGGATGGAAAGTGGAAACNTGGAAACAGTGGATAAGGGATGGAAAGTTGTGGAAACAAAGTTGTGGAAACGGTGGATAAGGGATGGAAAGTGGAAACGGTGGAGGATAAGGGATGGAAAGTTGCGGAAACAGTGGATAAGGGATTTAATATGATTTTGATTTATCCTTTATCCACTGTATGCCAACTACAAACAACAAGTGCTGTCCGGTGACAGTCAGCTGTGCCAATGTGTGTCCCGGCGCTGCCCAGAAGTTCTCTTTTATTTTGTCTTTATTACTGCTGAGTAAATTTGGCAATTTGCCCTTTACATTATTATACTATTATTAGAATCATAATTATTTCAATTTATTTATGATTCAATCGGCCTCCCCAAATCTGTGGTTATCATCCTTGTGCAGGGCCCATGCTAATCTGATCCGTGTCCTTCCCAATTTTATTATTATTATTATTATTATTATTATTATTATTATTATTATTATTATTTTGTGTGAAAACGACAGTTTAACCCTTCCCGATTTTAACAACAGACGTCCTGAGGGGCTTGCCCCTTTTTTTTGGCTGTTCAGATCGTCCAGTTTCAGCAGAAGCTTGACGGCACACAATGGTCTCGGAAACAGTGGAAACTTCTGCAAAATTAGAATGAGAAGCTGAACTGAATCTCCACAACGCAGCTAGCTGCCTCACCTCATTCATTCATTCATTCATTCATTCATAGCCGCATTGCTTACTTTTCTCTTCTTTGTCCCCATCTTTATGGGGGTAGTTTAACCCTTCATTGCGGAGAAACTTCACAAGCTGAAGTTGCTTTGAGCTGAGGCAGAGTGTGTCATATGGCGCCAGCCACGCCACGCTTGATGATTCTACCTTGCATGATATGGCGACTGTCCATCTGCACACGTACAATCCTTTTTTGTTTCATTTAAACTTCAAACTCTAAAGTTTAAACTTTAAACTTTAAACAGTTTAAACTTGTAGGCTGGAAAACGGGTTCTGCGTCCCTTACAAAACTTCACTCACTCCACGCTTCACCGGGTGCGCCCTGTTATGGCCGACAGAACCTGAGACAACAGCATTGATTACTTCCTTTCTAGGAAGGAGGGTATACCGGTATACCGCTGCTCTGCCCCTGGATTCTGTATCTTCTTCTTTACTTATAAAAAGGAGGATATACCACTGCTCTGCTGCTCCTTCTGCTGCTTCCTGCTGACTCTGCCGTTTCTGCTCTTTCTGCTACTGTTCTTGCTGAAGGGGCAGAAAGACCAGAAACTGCCGTTTCTGCTCTTACGGTTTTTTTTCCTTGATTTGTGTGTCATCTTTGTGAAGGGGCCATGCTAATCTTCTTCCCCTGTATCGTTCCACTTTTAACAGATCTCCTGCCTGAAGGACATCGCCACTTCTTCTGCTGCTGCTGTTCCCACTGTTGCTGGTTCTGCTACTATTTCAGTATTTTCTATACACCTGTCGGCACTGTCAACATTGCTGCCCTTGCCGGCAGTTCTGCTATGCTGCTGGTGTTTCTGCTTTTTTGGAAACCGCAAGGCACGAAGCGCCGCCGCGTGCTGAGTGTCGTGCGTAAACCAATTTCGTCATAGCCGTTCCTTCCTGCCGCATCTGGCCTGGTCTGCCACTGTGGTCGGTGATGGTGTAGTTTTGCCCTGTTTCTCTGTTTCTGGTATTGCTGCTGTATAATCGCTGTTGCTGGAATACAGACTCATTATCACAGTGTAACAGACTCACGCAGAGAGTCCATCATTTAGGATTGAGATGATCTTCTACTGAGAGGTACCTGAACTTCGTCATGTGAGCTCCTTCATATGGACAGCTATGTTATGAATGAGGAGGGAGAGACAGATGAGGGCAAAGAACAAGAGACCTGTTTCACAGATGGCAGCACGTGGGAGACGGCTACCAAACGAACACCTCGTGCCGACGGAGAAGATGCAATGCAGAGGGAGGAAGGCATAGCGGCAAGATGTCAGAATACCTAAACATGGGAAATCCAAACTCCTAAGCTCGATCGGTATCTTTTGAGAACGATGGTTATCGGATGGGCAGATGGAAAACGGGAGATAGCCTGGCTGCAATTCAAGAATCGACAGACTTCAAGAATTTTCTACCTCCCCATCCCAACACTACCCTCCCCCCCGCCAACCCCCCACCCCCAATCACCAGTCTGCTGTTGACGACAAAGAGGGCATCAACGACAGGGTTGAGGTGGGTGTTGACATGGGAGACATACCTGAGCGTTCTTAGCACAGCTGTTGCCACCATCATGATGTCTGGCATGAAGCACGCCCACCAAACACTCGCGACAAATGGCATGTCAGTCGCAGCCCAACAGGAAGGAAGAACGGGCATCACAGAAGACCATGCATTCATTATAACATCCCTGGCAGCGAAACGGACATCCGATGTCCGGGTGCGGAGGGCGCACGCAGTCAGGAAAGGTCGGACAGCCTTCGTCTCTCTCTCTCTCTCTCTCTCTCTCTCTCTCTCTCTCTCTCTCTCTCTCTCTCTCTCTCTCTCTCTCTCTCTGCACACAAGTTTACCAAAACCGTGGCGTCGTACTGATTGCGGCAGAGACAGTGATGCCTGCAGAGCAAGTTAACAGTGTCCGTAGCTGTGCAAAGGAGAAGGTCGCATAGTTTTGGTACATCGTCCTGTTGCGGCACAGGGGCAAAGATTCTGAAGTGATCCTCGACGTAAAGAGCGTTCGGACGGTTGCTGATGCAAGAAAACATCATCGCTGCAGAGGAAATCAGCAACATCAACATCAATCATGGCACGGACCATAGTGGCGTGGTCCCACAGCTCTCAGTGGTCAATCACATGGACAATAGCCTTGTGTAAAAAAGAGGCCTCCCCAGTAGCTCTAGGCAGTTTGTGGGCGTCTGTGAGAGGCAACGATGTATATATTTGTGCCCTAGTCAAAGGTACAGTTGTATACTCTTTTTTTTTTAACCACTAGCATCTCCGAGCCTATTTTCGACAAGTTTTGGTCTACCTCCGAACTTTCAGGAGGCCGAGCCCGCCGTTGATAAATCTGATCGGCTGCCGTCGTTTCGTTTCGGCCTCCTGAAAGGTCGGAGGCCGAGTATTTTCGAACCGACAAAGGTACTAGTGGTTTAATGTAAACAGAGCCTTATGGCCACGGCTCCATATCCATTCTGGGTGGGGAGCATCAGTCCACTTCCTATTCCACCAGCAAGTCGGGTATATTTCAACGATATTTGAATTTTTCCTTTTCACAAGTACACATGTTTACGTGCGTTTGTCTCCGGTCTGTGTACGTTTGTCAGAGGTAACTGTGCATATATCTCTGCCCTAGTCAGGAAAGGCAAATATGCATGCATATTTCAATGACATTTGAATATTTCCTTTCACAAGTACACATGTCTCTATGCATTTGAGACCTGTGTTTGTCTCTTTCTTCATTCTTTACAGTGTTTACACCGCCCACTGCAACTGGGTGGCTGACACCCTCCGTCACCCTCTTGCTTCTCCTCCTCTTTTCCCTCACTCTCCTACTCTTTTCCCTCACTCCCCGTCCTCCTTTCTTCCGCCCTCCACCTCCTTGCAACATTTATATATAAAAAGTATATGCAAAATTCATACTTGAATGTTCCTGGTCACAAATATGTATGTTTGTGCGTTTGTGTCTGTTTCTTCATTCTTCACACATTTACATCACCGTCGCAACTGCGTGGGTGTAACATGTCACTGCCCTCGTGCTTTTCCGCCTCATCTTTTCCCTCGCCTCCCCCGCCCCCCTCCCCCTTTTTTGCTTGTCATCCTTGCCCAGGGGTCATGCTCATCTTCATTCTCTGTGTTGTTCCAATGTTAACGGATGTCCTGAAGGACACCCTCTTACTATTTGCCCTCTCTCATCATCCTCAGTTTTTCTGCCCTCCACCTCCTTGCCCATTATTGGCATTGCCATCTTGTTCCTCCCTCCTCCTTTTCCTCCTACCCAGCAACCATGGATTCATGGGAAAGCTTCATCCAGCAGAAGGCAGAAGAGAGCGAGGATGGAGAATGAAGGAGGAGGAGACAGAGGCAGAGGAGGAGGAGGAGGAGGAGGAGGAGGAGGAGGGCCTGTGGTCACAAATGATGAGTGAGGAAGGGAAAACAGGAGTGGAACAAGGGAAGGAGGAGGCTGAGCAGTGAGCACACTCACATGTGTCTGATGACTACAAGCAACTGACGGAACAAGTATGGAAAAAGAAAAGGGAAAAGAAAAAAGAAAAAAGGGAAAGGCAGCATGCAACTCCCTAAACGACACTTAGGAAATTGGACAAGATGTCATCGGCCATCAGAATACAACTGGGCGTCCAGACATCTGAGTGCATGGTCTGTACTTGCCGATTCCACTATCCAGGATGCATTCTTTCTTTTCTTTGAAGGGCGACGACCTTGGGATATCATTATTGCACTGATCAGCCCCATTTAATCCACAATTATGTTATTCTGTTCATCCGATTGCATCTGGGTTAAACCACCAGTACTTCCTAGAGTTGTGCCCGTTAACGCGCCACGATTTTAGGAAACGTACGGGCTACTACAGGAGCGCCCAAATTCATCCAACTAGAAACGTTTCTACTCTATTTTTTCCCGCGGCCGATAGCTGGGCCAAGTACTGGTGGTTTAAGATCCTGGATTTCTATTCATTGCATCTGGCTTCTTTCAAACCTGGGCCTGGGTCTGTACTTCAGCAGTTCATGGCTGTACCAACTGAGCTTGGCAGGATGTCCCCTGCCAGGTGGGGCTCCAGCTGAACAGAATGCTTTCTTTTTTGGATTACATTCTGTGGTGTGACTTTGACTTCGACTTTGACTTTGACTTTGACTTTCCTATGCATTTCTTAGGTCTTTTCTTTGGTGTGACTTTGACTTTGACTTTGACTTTCCTATGCATTTCTTAGGTCTTTTCTTTGGTGTGACTTTGACTTTGACTTTGACTTTGACTTTCCTATGCATTTCTTAGGTCTTGTGCGGAGATGCCACGCCGCATTCCGGATTATCCCGACATTTAATGCAGCTATGCCGGATGGAATGCACTGCGTAGTTTTGGCTCTGATCTTTCTGTTGTGTGGGAAGTTTAGTTTTATTTGTGGTTGTTTATTTTTCACTTTAACCAGTGATGTGCGCGCTCTGCAAGCGCCTTGGGCAGCTGAGCCAAATTCAACTACACTTGAATGGACGGTACGAAGTCCTGCAGCTTTTCGTACCTTTGAAGAACTTCCAGCCATCAAAAAAACAAATAACAACATTGAAAATTCAAATTTCAAACATAATTGCCTATCACTGAACTTCCGTCCTGTAAGTCTGCTTGCCATCCCATGCAGCCATGCCTTTTTTTTTCTTTTTTCTTTTTGTTTTCCTGCTCCTCCTTTGCGCTCACACCTGCGACTGCGTCGCTGGTCGTGGACAATGTGGCTGCAGACTCAGACCCTAACCACTCCATTCATCGCCCTGCTTATCCGCTCAGTTTTCAAAACGTGGAGATGCCTTGTGCGGTCCAAGCCAGCTAATGTTAGGGCATGGCCCTATTGTGTGCTACCCTAATGCCTACCGTCTTCACCCGAATAGAATGCCCGGTCATTATAGCTGCATTCTGGGCACCTTTCAGTGCCGGTACAGCGATACTGACGGGGCGTTCTATTCGGGTGAAGACAGTAGTCCGTGCTTTCGCAGCACGAACATTGTACCAGTGTGAAATCAGACTTGTCGCAACTCGCTCCCACATGCATGCAAACAGATGACGAATACGAACTGGCGCAGTGCGCCCACGCAAAGCTCAGAGATAAGAATGTGGCCAGCAACACAGATCAGATTCAAAATTGTCTCGAATGGCTATGGTGCCCAGCGCCTGACAGAAATTCCCTCCCGATCATCTGTATCCACCAGCAACTTGTTCACACACACACACACACACACACACACACACACACACACACACACACACACTTCGACGCTAGCTAGGATCACCCTGAATGTCCCACATGCACACGCACACACGCGATACACAGATCCTATCTCTATCCTACGTGGCAGCTATGGCTGCCGTCTCCCTCCTAACTAAGCTAGCGGCTATGGCCACTTCTTCCTCCTCTTAGCCCCCTCCTTCCTCGGGCACGTGCAGACCTCCGATGCACAAGACGCTCAAACAGCGCTTCCGCATGGCTCCCAGGCAGAACGAATGAACGACTGGACGCTGCCTCTTTATTTATACTTGTTTCGCTGGCGGTCTGACCCCTTGGCCCGGACCCAGAAAGTGCACAGTCCCACTTGGTACTTGCTGACTGTACTAGGTGAAGAACGGGACTGGGAACTGCTGACTCGGCTAGGATAGGACTAGGACTGCCCTCTGCTGACAAGGCTACGACTGCCCTTTGCTGACTCAACTTCGGACCGACTCCCAGACCCTACAAAAAGTCAGTTCGGATTCATCTAGAACGTACTAGAACTGGGTAGAACTTGACCATCGGAACTGTAGCAGCTACGACCTAGACTGACCCTACGACTACTAAAACAAAAGTCCACGGGTCAAACCCACACGACGGAACTATGTACAGCAGTCTAACACACGACTTTCAGGGACAGATCGCGGGTTCAAATACTCAGGGTCCTAGGGTACTGTACAAGGGATAGGGGACAGATCATGGGATCGAGCACTAGGGAATGTGTCTGTTACGCGACTTGGTGAAAACCGTTTCAAGTGGGTCCTGGACCTTTTTTTCAAGGAGCTTGTAGACCGACTTAAGAAGTATGGATACTTCAGTAAGACGCACTTACAAAGGTTGTATCTTTCCAAACTTCCAAAGTCGATAAAAAAAAAAAAAAAAAAACAACAACAACAACAACAACAACAACAACAACAACAACAAGAATTATGATCCTGATGGACCACACAGATATACTTGCATTTTACAATGCGAAAAACCGTGGCATTTTCTACTACTACTCCTTTGCGGCTCCCCTGGCGGGCCTGAGTCGTATTATACACTTATTGCGGTCTTCATGTGGTCTTACGTTATCAACTAAATACAAACTTAGGTCTTTGAGAAGCCGCGGTCGTCTTCTGTGATTATGATCGCTAACCAGCTCGCACCCCTTCAGCCCCAGCTGGCAGCTGATTGCCAGCATGCAAAAGCTTATGTGCTGACAAAGTCAACAAACCTAAAGAGCTCCTCCTTGTTGAGAAGTAGTTGGTTCCCAATTCAGGCCAAATGTAAGACCTGCGAGGACTACCAGAGACTGCTGACTCATACGGACGTTTATCTCTAAACATGAACGGAGAGCAGTGGTCGTACTGTGCACTGCACTTCGTCACTTACAAAATCCGGCCCTGTCAAACTTGTCAATTGCTGTATGCACTTGCTTGCACGGACGGTGCAAAGTTGCGCAATGTATGTGTGCTTGGTCCATTTTCATTTTCATATATACATGCATGCCATCTCAATCTTGCGGCCTTTCCAGCTTGCGTTTTTTTTTATTATTATTATAGAAAAATCTTGTTGATCACCGTTCCCAAGCCGTTGATGATTCTGCATCGATGACCGCCAGACGACAACGTGTAGCGGTGACTCCACCATTATCACCCTCCCACCCACGAAATCCCATACGTTCTCCCCCTCCCCTTTTACTCACAAGTGTCAGATCCTTGTGGTAAGACGACCGAAAACACTTCAGAATACCGGCTGCCTTTCCCTCCAGATTGTGGTCTTTTTGTTATTGTTGTTGTTGTTCTTCTTCTTCTTCTTCGTCTGCTGCTGCTGCTGCTGCTGCTGCTGCTTCTGCTTCTTCTTCTTCTTTTTGCAAGAGACTTCCAATGAAATCCTTCGGTCCTGTGATGATGCAAGCACCAACGGGATGGAGGTTTTCTTGAGGATGGCTCCTGTCCATTGCTGGGGAGCAACAGCTACTGGAAAGCGGGTCCAGCGTCCCTTGTTCATAAAATGATGAAAATGCATACTGGGAGCTTCGCCCAGCTTCACTTGTGCTGTCCATACTTGCCCTTACACTGTCTAACGTCTGTTTTTTTTTTTGACTGCTGAACAACACACAGATCTAGTGAATGGGATGTTCCATCCAGTCTATGCATTCTCTGCCTAGTTACTTCAGGGAGGCTTCGACAATAATGCTATTTCTTCGTGGTGATAGCAGCACCTGCTGTTTGGTCAGTGCTGGTAGAATACAGAAGAGATTCCAAGCGTTGTGTAAAATGCAGAAGAGATTCCAAGCGCTGTGCTGTGCAGCTGCATAAACTCAGAAGAAAACCATTTGAAAAAGGACACTTTGCTAACTGAGGCTGGCCAAGATAGTCCAACGGTACCAGGCCATTCGCCAGGATAGACGACTTACACAAGGGCTCTTTTTGCGAAAAAAAAAAAAGAGACGGACAGGGCCAAGTGGGTGGCTGCGGGCTTGACAACCAGACATTGCTGCCATTTGGATCAAGCACGCACCTGTCGCTCTACCTCGCCCTGCACTCACTAAAACAGCCACTGTCATCCCTAATAACAAAGGGACAGCACCCAATTGAAACAGAAAACACAAGCAAACTGGTTTTCCTGCCATACAGCACTGTCATCCAAGCGCACCAATGAAATGAATGATGAAATTGCACAAACAAAGTCAGATGCTATGCTATGTACCCACAGATACCTAGCAAGAACAGAGAGAAGCCATGCCCACCAAGAAAGTTATGGGAAGGAACTCAACAAACCACACAACATCTAGACGGACCACCGCAGACAACTGCAAGAAAGCTGGTAATGGTAAGCTTTGGAAAAAAGGTGGTGATCTCGAAAAAAAAAAAAAAGGCGGTGCCAGTGTCGGAATGCCCGCGCCCGCTATGCACAAAATGCCTCTTTTTAACTGAAACTGCCCTCTTTGTGCGTTCTCCTTTTTATTTGTCAGATGTGGTGCCTGTGTATGTTGTTCAATGCATTCGTGAAATAGGGCCGATGTGCATGTTATTGTGTGGCAAACACACTTGCACCTTTCTCTAATGGGCTTCGCAGAAGAACAGAATATTATATATATCATAACAGAAACGCCACGTGACTCCAGCCACATGAGAGAACTTCCATCTTGGGAACGTTTATTATCACGTATTATTTATTCATCACATGTCCGCTAGCAGTGCCGGATGTGTATCCGACAAACCACAGACACCGCAAGGATGCTGTGGGGTCCTAACACTGCGGATGGTTGCAAAAGCTACCAAGCGATCCAACAAGCACTCACAATGTGAACAACATCAAACGCAAAAGAGGCACATAAACTAAGTTACGTGAGGCAACAGAACTCACAAAACCCTCCCTTTGTCCGTCTCCCCTGCCCCCCTCTCCCCTGCCCACCTCAGCTTTTCTCTTCGCCTCACGATCCCCTTGGCTCTTCTCTTCGCCTCACGATCCCCTCGGCTCTTCTCTCCGCCTCACAATCCCCTCACCCCTCACCATTGCTCTTCCCCTCTCCATCAAACGCAACAGAGGCACATAAAAAAACAAAGTTACGTGAGGCAACAGTAATCACAAAACCCTCCCTTGTCCCTCTCCCCTGCCCCCCTCGGCTTTTCTCTTCGCCTCACGATCCCCTCGGCTCCGCTCTTCTCTCCGCCTCACGATCCCCTCGGCTCGGCTCTTCTCTCCGCCTCACGATCCCCTCACCCTCACCATTGCTCTTCCCCTCTCCACCATGCCCCCTCTTACCAATCACAGCAATCCTGCACAGTCTACTGACCCTATTCACAGAAAAACTTCATCCGTCGCTCTCCCCCGACACTCGGAATCCTTCTCCTGTTCCCCTGCCCTGCTCATCTGAAACCAGAGGGAACCTCCGGAGGCATCAATTTTAGGCTCTTCAGGTACTCGAAGAAGCTCGGATCGTCTGTGTGAAAGAACTTAGTCTTCAGCTTCGCTCTTTGCTCTGGCTGCAGCGTTCGCAGCTTCGGGAACCATGCATCCTGCTCAAATGGGGAATCCTTGTGCGCTGGCACAAGCCTCGCCAGAAGGTACCGGGCCTTCGAGTCTGCTTCCTTGCACACCACAATGCGAGGCAGAGGGAACCTATTCTCCACGGCCTCTAGAGCAAGAGTCTTGCATGCTGCGAGTGCGCCTGCACTCTTCGCCTCATCGGCAAGCACGTCCAGTCCCATCCAAATAAAAACGTCCGTTCCATGATCAAGAACGAGTGAAACTTCGGACTGTAAGGCCAAATTCACTGCCGGCACCTCTTCGAAAGTTCCTCCTTGCACATGAGCCAACAGCCTTGGCACCGTCATCCGCAACGACAGATCGAACGAAGCCTGCAAGAATACATTTCGAAGAACTGCTCTCTCGTCTTCATGCCCAACTATGCTTCCCAACAGTGCGCCTCGCCGCAGATGGAACAGCATCTCTGGTAATCTGTGAAGTTCTGAGGGGAATTTCCGCATCTTTGACCCCTTCATCTGCGTTCCAAAATGCAAAGCAATATCCTTCAGCCTCTCGTCAATGGACAACTTCATGTCAGCTGCATCCTCAGGAGTCAAAGCTTCCACAACGGTCCGTTTGGCAATCAACACAGCAGCCACATCTTCAACAACGGCGTTCAAATAGGTTGACGCGCTTCCTGTTGTGGGCAGCCGGAGAGTGATAACCCGAACGACTCTCGCACGCTCCAAATTCACATACCGAGCAACGAACTGGAAGTGGACATGGTCTTGTGAGACATCGTCACGCAACTCCATGCACAGGACAAATCCCTGATTCTCCTCCACACTTGACATACCGCATGATGTCACTATATCCTCAGGAAAACTTTCCTCCTGCGAGTCAGTGATCGCCTCTGCAGGGCCAATTATTCTGGTGATTGCCACTGGTCCTGAGCATCTCACCTCCAATACACCCTCAGTGCCACATACTCTGGAAACAGCTCTCTGCAAATTGCCACCAAAAGTTTCACCGAAGTCATCGTGTAACCACAGCAAGCCTCCAGAGGCCTTTGCGAGCGGGTGCAAAACTGGGACCTTAACGGGACAGGCTCCGGCGCAAAAGATATCAACCGCAACGTCCAGGTATTTGGCTTCCTTGCCTAGGGTTTCCAAGTACGCCTTCGCGTTTGCCTCCTCATAAGCGAAGTTAGGGTGTTCTTCATTGACAGGAGCAGCCCCTGGACCGTAGTTCGGCGGTCCACTTGTGCACACAAGAATACGGCTGAGGCCCATATCCCCTCTATTCCTGATGCTCTCTTCTTCACCCATCGGACCGCGGATGAGTGCCAAAGCCACTTCCACAGCTGCTCCCAAACATCTCTTACGTTCAGATTCCACAGCTTTTCCGCGGTAAGGCCGCAGCGAAGAAACTATGGAGTGTGCAATCGGTGCACAGGAATGAATCGGTGACAAGAAAGACCCGCTGCCATACAGCAAAATCTTAATTGCCTCCTCAGTGGGAGAGGAACTGCCTGGAAGTACATCTGCGGAGGCGATGCCTGGTTCTGAGAGATCGTAAACAGACACTGCAGCGCCATAGGTAATAATTCCCACCCTCGTATCTTCAGGCATCTTCTCCATAACTCCAAAGAGAGACTTCTGCAACTCCTGCATGTATGGATCGCTGAGGTTCTCATCGATCAGAAGAATGGCTGATGGAGCAGGAGCAGGCGCTACACCCGACGCAACAGAGTATCCACTCCGGGGATTGGAAATCACGTAATCGACCGTTTTCACGACCAACTCCGGCCAGCTCCCGAAGTCATCCACAGAGTAATTGCCGCTACTTGAATTAGTGTGTGTGCAGAAGACACACGTCCACTGGCCGATTCGAGGGGCAACTTTGCAATACAGGTTCACATGTGCTCCGCACATCTCGCACCGCACAGGATTCCTTGTCAGCACAGGAGGTCTGGCGGCATCCACTTCCTTGACTGGCGAGATCAAAGCCCCAAAAGGGAGACTCCCAATATTCGCAATCTTCTTCTGGGTAGGAATCTTCTGCGCAGAGAAGTAAACGAAAGGAGCACCCGCACTGGCCGGATCCTCTTCGTTCAAGTCCCTGTCGGTCACCGAGCCCACGGTAGACACGGGAACCGGCGCGAAGAACCCATTACTCGATGGCGATTGAGCGGAAGGCGGCGGGGACACTCCTCCCATGGACTGCATGGCGCCGAGCGAGCGCGACGACATCGTCGGCATCGCTGCTCCCGTCATCATCGGATCTGGAGGAGAAGGGACAAACAGGGAGGGGGAGACGGAGCTCCCGCCGCCAAGTGCGTAAGCCATCGAAGAAGCAGCAGCAGCAGCTGGTCTACCGAAAGACGGCGCGCTCGCCGGCGGCAGATACGACGACGGGGGAACAGCGCTCCGCGGGGGCATACCCATCCCCATCATCATCGGAAGAGGGGAGTACCTGTTCTGTCCCTGTCCTGTCAATGACATGGCACGTAAATTGTCCGCCAGTCCATCTCCTCCTCCCGGTTCACCCTTGAACGAAGAGAGATCGAACGACGACGACATCGTTCCTGATGGCAAAGAAGACGAAGAGGAGAAAGCAAATGGGGGAGCGCCAGCGCCGGCTACGAATGGAGGAGAAGACGATGCCGCCGACGAAACCAGCGGCGAAGAAAACGCGGGACGAAGAGCTGAGGGAAGAGACGAGGGCCCATTTAAAGCCGTCGCCGCAGCGGTCGCGGAGAAAGGGGCCGTCGACGCTTGGGAGTTTGACGACATATCATAATACGGATCGAGAAACCCCGACGACGCTGAAGACGGCGATGCTTTCGATGGCAGCATAGGCGTCGTCATCCCCGGGGATCCTGTGCCCCATTGACCGTCGGCAGCCATAGCCGCGCCCTTCGCCGCTGCCTCCCTCAACTTCCCCTCGCTCTACCGCTCTCCGCAGTCTCACTTTCCACGGAATGAAAGACGCAGCAGCAGATCCGCACGCGTGTCACACGGGGTCGCGATGACCGTGCCGTCGCGCCGCACGTGCTGTACGGACGGACGGACGGACGAACGGACGGTCGCGCGTCCGTAGTACCTCCTCCTGTCGCCCACGTGGCAAAGTTGCCTGCCTTCCGGTTTAGTCAGACGTTCAGGAAGCTTTCACCTCCCCAGCGCCTGTTGACAACCGGCAAGGAATTTTTTGCCCGCCATCCAGCCGCGCGGAGACACGGCATTCACATCCCCATGAACACCCCTACACTACCTAACGTCTTAGGGGCAGATCCCACTTCTTATAAGCAGGGCACTTTTAGGGGTGGACCCCACCGCTCGGAGGCCTGGAAATTGGAAATTTCTTTCAAGGCCGGTGAGTTTCGGACTCCGCTCATCTGGAAAACCGGATGATAACCCGCAGTGGAAAGGTTTTTCAGACCCCATCTACCGTGGAAGGACGACGGAAAGGTGTCAGCAGCGTTTCTAATGGTTGGCGGGCTGGAAACCGACGGAAAGGTCATTCCACCACCTTTCCAAAAAGGCCTTCATGTTCTCCCGTGGAAAGAAGACGCCTAGCGGGTGTGGTCCAGCTGCCAGCTGACATCACGGTGGACCGTTTCATGGGCAGGCAAGCCCCCTCGGACATGCACTGCCCTGTCGCACGGTTCCAATGTTCGCAGCCTGTCAGGGGTGCGTTTTCCCCCCCTGAGACATTTCCCCCCCAAGACATTTTCATCGCCCTTCGTTATACTGGTTGTTGATTCGGGCTCGTTTGTCGTTGGAAGGTTCAAAAAATGCAGGCAGGTGCAGGCACGACACTTTTGGGGGTGGTGGCAGTTTCTTTGAAAAATGCGGAACGGGTAAGCTGCCCGTGGGACCGCGCGCTGGGTTTTGATCAAAACGCGCAGCGGCGGGGTGGATCTTTGGGGGGGGGTGGCAGTTTCTTTGAAAAATGCGGGACCGGTAGCTGCCCGTGGGACCGCGCGCTGGGTTTTGGTCGAAACGGTGGCAAAGGAGCGGCAGGGTGGAAACGTTCGCAGCCCGTCAGGGTTGCGTTTTTCCCCTCCCTAAGACATTTCAACGTTACTCAAATTTCAACGTCGGTGGTCGTCGGGGGGGTGGGCTTTTTCAGGTTTGGGGGCCTTGCAAGGGCCAGGACCGCGTAGGACTGGTAGCTGCCCATAGGAGGCTGAGGAGGCCGCGGTCCTTACGCCTTTTGTGAAATTGAAACGGCGCGGGTCCACTTTTCTCGAATAGCAGAGCACCTCGAATAAAACACGTACACATATTCGAATACAATGTGTACCGTTTCTATTCGGATTTCGAAAAGAAAAAACCCTTGTGTTCCAATAAAATTACTTCTTTCTTTTTTTTTGGAGGTCAGTGCCTGCCCTTGTGCTCCCACCCACTGACATACTGCATGCTGCAGGTCTCTCTCTCTCTCTCTCTCTCTCTCTCTCTCTCTCTCTCTCTCTCTCTCTCTCTCTCTCTCTCTCTCTCTC